GCCCCCTCTAGAAACCCTCTTCTCCCTGTTCTAAGGGCTGTGCCTGGCTTTCGTGGAGAGTGCCTTCAACATAACAAAGGTAGATGAAAATACCGATGGCAGCTTTGACTATGGCATCTTCCAGATCAACAGCCACTACTGGTGCAACGATTACCAGAGTCACACGGAAAACATTTGCCACGTGGACTGTCAAGGTCTGGCCGGGGCCCCAGGGTGGGAGAGGTGAGAGAGGTGACCAGGCTCTATGCACAGGATTTCCCTTCCTACGCAAAGCCTGGAGCGGACCCCGGTGGGGTGGCTCAAAGAATCAGGGAATCCCTTTACTGAGTAGAGGGTTTGACTTGTGTCCCTAATTGCGCATCCGTAGGAGTTGCCACGGTGTTCTGCAGGCTCCAGATAGGCTCGCACAGCCAGCAGTGGTAGAGCAGCAGCAGCAGCCAGCATTTACTGAGAGTGGATTATGTCCTCAGCACTTTACATGCATAGCTCATCTCATCCAACCTGCCATGCAGTATGATCCCCACTTTACAGACGAGCAAACTGAGGCTCACAGAACCAGTGCCAAATGGCAAACTGGTAGCCCTGAAAGCTCAGCTCTCACCACCAAGTAGTACTGTCTTTGGCTAACAGTCTAATCAAAGGCCAAGGGCAAACTCCCCACCCTGAGCTGATCCAGGAGGCTCCATGGTCCATGACTCCCTTATCTCCTCCTTTGTTCACCTGAAGAGCCTCCCTCCTTAAGCATGACTTTACCGTGGTCCCTGTGGTTTCCCTAGAAACCTCCAAACCTTGGGGTGAACCACCATCTACTCTGGCTAGGAAGTATGGTAGCAAACCAGCCCAAATCTCAGGCTTCCTGTCCCTCCTGCCCCCACCCGCAGCCACCCCCCAACCTCCAGCAGCCATTGTATGGATGCCCCAGCAGGCCTCTAGGAGGGAGGCCCGCTCCATCTGGAAGTACTCAGCCTCCGGGTGGTACATGCCTGTGCGGGGAGAGCCAGTGACCGCCTCAGTCTTCGGGACTGTCCCCTGTGCTCTCACCAGTACTTTTCC